AACTTGGTGCCTGGCATTTTTTTCTCCACCATTTTTCGCTGACTCTTTCGTTTTGTCCACCTCATGGAATCCTCCAGACGCACAGACGGGGAACAAAGCGATAGCGCGACAACTTAAACCGAAAGCAAAGTGGAACAACGTCCGCTTCATGTTTGAATCTAACCTCCCTCATGCCTTTTTTTTCGTTGAGGTTTCGTAATTTTGTCCCACGCGACTTGCGACCTAGTCACACGGACATCCAAACAAACCCGCACAATGGGATTCAAAGACGTCCCTACCGCACTGTGATTGCGGTTCGTATCTTGCGCGCTAATCACGGTCATGCCCATCATTGTTTTTCTCATTTGGGTGAACTTGGCGTCGGCCCACCTGAAAGGAGTGAAAGACTGGATCGTCCCTTCTTTTGTCCGTTTCCTTCCCTGCACATTGTGTCATGAAAAATGCGCAAGGAGACAAAGGTGGGTAGTTAGGTTGTAGGAGGATTGGATGTGAGTCTTCCGAGCGCAGTTGGTAGCGTCTTGTGTGCTTCGCGCAGAGGTCCGGACGTTTACGGTTTGTGGGAATCACTTTTTTTGTGGGTTGGCCGGTTCGCTCACCGTTACGGATGTTTTTCTGGTACCTCCTTGCAACGACCACTCGAACTGTAAAGTCTGCCTTTTGGCATCCCCGCAAAGGTGTTCGACCCTCGACTCTCTTTCACCGGGCTGGTCAGGTCTGGTCATTTTTTGCTCGTCCATTCTTGCCCAGATTTGGTCTTTGTTTCCCCACCCAGACGTAAAGAAAGATGGAACGTACAGCTGAATGGGGGCAAGGTACGGCGGAGGTGTTCAGCATCGGCCAGTACCATGGAAGGCGATCAGCACGTCAGTTCTTTTTTTTCCCCGACTTTCTTCACTTTTATTTCATCACACCAACGCTATAAGTGTTTTCTGGTACCGCGTTGTGACGACTGCTCGCAACGATTAAGTCCGCCTTTTGCCGCCCCAGCACCGCAAAGGTGTTCCACCCTCACTCTCTTTCACCGGACTGGTCAATTTTTTCCTCCTCAATTTCTCTCCCGCATTCTGTCCTTTGTTTCATCACCGAGACACAGAGAAAAGGATGGTCTTATGAAACCGTTGGGTGGAGTTATGCGCAGGTGTTCCGCCCTGTCTTTACCATGAAACTCCAGTCTCTCCCGCATCTGTTTTTTTTCCCGTTTTCTTCACTTTCACTTATTGCTACCACCACATCTTCGAATAAAAAGCGGAACAAACCACATTCTGACCGCGGAAGGCCAAAAAAACTCGATGGGACACATACCACTCGTAGGAACAACTCGGGCACCGTCGACACGAATTGTCACAAGCTACGGATAGTATGTAGTTTGATTTGCCGCCAGGTGTTGGATATACGGCACCCAAGTGGGTCATAAAGCCCCTCAAACGTGGCATCCGTCCTTGTGCCGCTTGCCATAGAAAACGCACCGGTTGGAAAGTGTACTAATAGCGAATGAAGCAATCCGCTTTGCCAGCGGCTTGTCCAGTTGGCATTCGCCATTTCAATGAAGTAATTTCTCTTTTATTTGGGTGCAGGTGCCCTCATTCTCACTAAAAAAGACCGACGTGGGAACCAGTGGCAGCAAGCACGATGGAAAACGTTTTGCGCAGCAAGCCAAAAGTGACGGTACCCAATCCAAGTACGCAAGTTTTCCCGTGGCATCCGTTCCCGTAAGGGTCCGACCGGCTCATACATCCCTGATAAATGGGTTGTCCCTCCTTTGCTTTACCGTACATTCGCTGGTTTGTTTTAAAAAGGCGTGCGTCGGACAGTAGATTGGAATTGCCCTGCAGAGGTATATCCTCCGCACTTCCTCCCATCCTTATTCTCTTTGCCTTTTTTTTGTACCCCTCTTCCGACCATCTAACCCATGAAATCCTTTTGCGGGGGTTCAAACTGAGTCTCAAAAAAAGCTCGGGAAAATTGCTATTAAGGAGGGCGGAAGTGAAGCAAGCACACGTCCGCGTCGTGTGTCGGCGGTCTTATATAGCCCTCAGCCGTGTTTGTCCAATATAATTCGCCCTAGTCATGCCTTCTCCCGCGTAATGGCTCTCATTACATGGCTCACGGTCTCATCATTGAAATTTCTGAAGTGCCTGGGACTGTCTGTGCGGCATGGCTCGTTACCGAGCACATACACCATACTGGGTTTTGGTTGGGCTCCCGTCCTGTTTTCCTGCTGCATAGGATGAAACTGTGTACCGAATGCAAGCCCTGGAACGTCGCGGAAGCTGTTCTCCGAAGCTCTGAACTGGTAAGAGCAGGAGCTGCACCGTTGATGGTAGTTGCCCAAGCAAACCATTTATCTAATACGCAGCCTTAGAGGATTGGCATCGAACCATTGAGGACTAGTGAGCGGGGACATTCACGCCACCCGCTCCCATTCCAAGAAATAGTGGTCTTTTTTTGACCCTTTCGACTACAGCTATAGCCTGATTATGGAAGACAGCTGCGCTTGTCGAAGGATGAAAAAAACAATCATGTCGCTTCAGTTACGAATGGGGCCGCGTGAGGTCTTCACCCGTAGGCACTTGCTCCTTGATCACATTGAACACCCTACTGGACACACGATGTTGGGATGGATGGCGTCCCCGCTGCCGCCCAGTCTCAATGACATCTCCTAGGAACGCACAGATGTCAGCTGAACAAACTCTGTAAACGTGACGTGATTGAGTATGTAAAGCAATACGCTCAATATGATGTCGACGACGCGCTACCCTCTGCGGGGAAAAATAAGGCACTTTAAGAGGACACGAAACAGTGCCCGGAAATGCGGTCATCTTCCGCAGCACGTGATTCCCTTTCGCATCACCACCAGAAACGCCAAACCAAAGGCATATGTACTTGATGCCTACACTCTCATGCGCAGCGAATTGGGTAACTGCGCACTTTGGATACCCAGTGACCCATTCACAATTTGAAGCTCATTTAAAAGCACTGGTGTCTAGAGATCGCCCCGCTCTCGGTCTGAACAGAGCACCACCCAAATTTGGAGTGGGAAATCGCGCTGGTCCCCAACCGAGGTGCATTCAACAGGAAGCGCTCACACCGACACGACACTTGGGTCCTGTCCACCCAAGTGGGAATGAATCTACGAGGCCCGCATCAGTGGTAGAAATGTCGGGACGGTTCCCGAAAACCAAACAAGTATGAAAACGAACCACCTGTGAAAAAAACTGCGTTATGCGGCGGCATGAAGTGGAAGACCGGCGCATTTAACTGACGCGGTTCCCGCCCACGGCAAATGCTTAACAGCGGAAGTGTTGAGAAATGAAGCGTACGGTCAAAGAGTGTACTTATCATTCCACAATATCAAGAAAGAAAGACCGAGTTTACAAACAGGAAAAAAAGATGGCAAGTCGTTCAGGAACTGCGCATTCAAATGCAGCCTATATTGCCCAGCCGGAAGACCAGCCCGTCAATGAAAGTCCAAACCTCTTCTACAAAAGGGCTAGCACAGCAACGAGCGGCCGCAATGGCTTTGACAGCAGACGGGCATCCTCCCAAAACAAGGCACCGTAAAGAAACTGAACGACGCGCAAAAAAATTCGCGACTGCCTTGGAGCAGGGATTGAATGCGGTATTTCCGGTATTTCAACCCTTACGGCTCAGTGTAGGACTTGAATGGCTGCACAGGAGTCATGCGTGAAGTACGTGCTCATGATTGCAACTGCTTGATACAACCGGGCGAAATGCATATTGAACGCACAACACGTTTCCGGACAGGGTGGTACCAGCAGCCCTGGCCCGCCCGACATCAAGGTGCAAATATAGGCAACGGTGCGAGAGGGGCCTGGACCGTACCATTCCAAGCGACGGTGGGAACGCGCGAGTGTTTGATGCGGGATCTTTTGCCCTGGCGCACAACGGCACAACGGAGAGATGGTAAAATCCAATAAATAGCAAAACGAAGTCTGCAGATTGCCACTTGAAGACTGCGCATTGTGTTGACATGGTGCGCTCCCCATCGCCCTGGACCGCTCCAAAGTGAAGCTGCACGATGAACATCGTCCCAACGGCGGTTCCGCGCCTGACAGGCACAAACAGACGAAAAGCAAGAACGTGACGAAACGCCATGATTCCCTGTCGTGGTAAGGAATGGCAGTCCGATGAAATATAAACCAAGCTGAAAACTGCGCATACAGGGCAGAAGATGGGGTAGGGCAAATTCCACAATTATGTGTGCCGTGCCGTGGACGACAGAAGTTTAAAAAGTCAACTTAACCCACAACCACAAAAAGCGACTGCGCAACAGAATCGAGGACCACGCCTTGGAACTCGCCCATACAGTAACCTGCGATCTTCCAAGCCCACTCGTCAAACCAAATCATCACAACTCCATGTGAACTGTCGCCTTGCTAACAGCACATCCCGCTCTTCCAGCCGCAATATAGCTAGATACCCATACCCGCCGACAATAGAAACCGCTGGAAACTGTCACTACAGACATTCGTGACCGTGTCCTTACCAACGTCCAAAGCACCGACCAGTGACCCAACAGCTGTCTGATTGTTTGGCATACACGGACAAAGGAAACGCGGGCGTAGTGTGCTCAATCCGCACAAAAATAGAAGATTGTATCGGGTTTGGAAGGCCAACCGAGCATTGGACCGCGCGAACGTTCCCGTGTCTGTAAATCTGGAGCCGCACCTCTAAACGATGTAAAAATTACCACCCAAACACTATCTCATACCCTCCGCCTCATGAGGGAACACGTCCTGCCCGACGGAAACCCCGCGATTTGAAGACCACAACTTTTGCCTCCCCGCTAGGAAAGTCTGGCGCCCACGCCCGCCATCGGCTCGCAACCATACGCGCGTTAAATCCACACAGAGAAAAAAAAATTACAAAGGACCTACACCTAATGCGTCCGTCGCCCGTCCCCATCGCGGCTGTCAAGCCCCCCAAAAGCAAAATAGATTGCAGCCGACGTTGCGGTTGATAGATTTGAAGTAATCAATCTCTCAGTCCGGGAATCGAACCCGGGTCTTCCGCGGACTGCGCAGCAACCAAGGACGCTGACAGGCGGAGATACTGACCACTATACTAACTGAGACCTACGATATTTCACTCCGGAAATCGGGATGGAATGAAGGGAAAGCCTTCGAATACCAGCGATGGGTATCCAAACTGCGGAGGTCGTTCGTCGACGTCGTGCGGGATGTTTAGAAGTACGTCAGGCGGTTTGTGATGGATGGCTTTTCCTAGGTCTGCAGGTTGATTGAAACTAATAGGCCCAAAAAAATACGGGCCTTCAGAATACTCCACAGGCCCATCCCAAACCATTTCTGGTAGATGCGCCCATTTTGCGTTGCCATTAAAGAAATGTGATGATACCCATTCCATCCGCTGAGTGGCAACGAAACAAACACAAAGCCTTTTTGGAGTCCTTTGTCTCGCAATCTTTTGAAGACGTAACCTAAAAAAAAAACGACCCAGAACCCGAAAGGGAGGAGGATGGACGGCGTAAGTCCATCCTTCCCATCAAGCATTTGTGACCCGTGCACCGCGTGGTTTGAGAGTGCTGCTGGCGTCATTTCAAGACGAAATCCGTACCCGAGGCGCTTGATCAAACAGACGGGGAAAAAAGGCTCAAAGACAGTATGCAAGGTGCAGGAGGGTATCCCGTTTCTGTTCCGTTCGAATCGTTCAGAGCCACGTTCAGCTGCCATCGCATCGGTTAGACGGCCATTTCATGGGAGCATTATAGTGTTGGCCCCAAAAAAATAAAAATATAAATTTGCAAGATCAAAACTACAAGGACTAAATTCCCATAAGACCCACTGATTGCCAGTTCATCCCAGTGTTCATAGTCAGTATAGTGTACGGCACAAGAGGAGGAAAATAATAGCACCATGACGAACTCTCAAGGGGGGAACGGCAGGGAACGCTCCCCGCTTCTTCAAAACCATTTTGGGAAGTGACTTACGGTGGTCTGAGGTTACCGATTAAGTTATGTGGCCATGATAACCCCCTGGTGTTGTCGCCAACGAAACGAAATCAAAAAAACATAACGGCGTCCAAAAGCAAACGTGGCAGGAACGGTATCCACTCCGCTACTCACACGCTTGTCGACAAGGCCCTTTGATGTCTGCAACACCAGACTCCGTTTATCACTTTTGGAGTCGTTAGTCGTGGAATGGACTCCAATCCGGTGGCCGTGGGAAGTGCAAAAAGGACCGGGAAAAAAGAATCCTCAAAATGCTTTCGAGGCAAACCCATGGTGGGAACGTAAACCCAAGGCGGAGGAAACAAGCGAGTTTGGTATGTCCACTCTCAACGCAAAAGCATTCCGACAGAATGAAAATAATGAATCCGATACTGCACGATGTGGGCGTGGGTCAAATGATCAGTGGGCCACTGGAGGTTAAAAAAACGGCAGTGTAGGAAGCCTCCAAAGCAGGCGGGACGTACTTGTCCAGCAACAGACCGGAACAACCACACCAAAACGCAACACGCATTGCAATGCAACCAAATCCAACTTTCCTATCACGGGCCATTTCCCCCTTCCGTCCCGTCCCATCCCCTCCCAATCAACTCAATCCAGACCCGCCTCTCGCGTTTTATTGTAGTTTGCAGAAAAGACGCACCCAAAAACAGTAAGTGGCCGACTTGGAATCCATGGCAGAGGAACGGTACAGTACGCCCACCCCCTCTTTTGTTCGAATTGACCACGAATTCATTCTGTCGTAGTGTGGATGAAAAGCTTAAAAACTCAGGACAACGCAGTGGCAATGGAGGAACGATATCCACTCTGCCATGCAACATAGGGGCGCTCGATTGGGCGTGGGCGCCGGACAAAAGTTCAAAGGCAGCGCGGGGGGGGGGCCGGGTAACGGTACACCCATGAGACCCGAAGACAAGTCAATCTTGAGATTCTTGCTTTGTTTGCCGGGCTGTTTTGGAATTGGTGGAAATCCAAGGTGGAAATCCGCTATCACCGCTCATCTCCCGATCGACCTTTCCAAAAACATCGGATTCGACGTTTCTGACTTCCCATGAGTCCCATTGCAGGCCAGTTCATTCCAGTGCCCATAGAACAAGAGGACAAAAAAATAGCAGAAAGGAATGGTGCAGTATCCCCTTGCTCCTCGTTCAAAATCGGGAAGTGGGTTACGGCGGTCTGGGGTCGCCGATTAAGTGACTTGACCACGATAACACTCTCGTGTCGTTGGCCACAAAGCGACTAAAAGAAAAACAGTACGGCAGCGCACCGGGATAAATCAAACATGGGAGGGAGCGGTACTGTACTCCACTACGGATCCCCCCATGCGAGCTCGATTGGATACCCCCCCTAGCCTTGGTCCTTTCAACTGAACATCCGCAGCGATTTTCCATTGCTGATGGTGGATATTCGTCTGAATCCCTGTTCCTGACATCTTTGGGGCAGGACCAAACAAAACAACTGATCATCCCTTGCCCGTGTCGAGGTTGCGAGGTTAGATCAGGAGCGCGCGCAGTCGCCTCGAATAGCCTTGCCCGTTACGGTATCCAGAAGTCGTCCGACGCCCACACTACCAAGGAACGTATTCCCATGTCCCCCCCCCGTGATGTTTTCGCAACTCCTAGAAGATTTCTATTCTGATGCCTGCTGCTACAACAGGAAATTACATGTAGGTTTCCCGAGACGCGTGCCCCACAGAAAAAAAAAGTGTGTTTAATGTTTTTGCGTACGGTTGGTGTTGAGGCAGGCGAATGTGATTTACGTCCTCTTTGGTTGATATCCATGTCAGGGACCCAACCCCCACATTAACACTTTAGGATGTCCAAGGGTATTTTGTTGAGTTTGGTATTCTACCATCATACCACACACCAGATGGACTGACCTTCGCGCGCGCAGTCATTAGAATAGTGTACAGAGCTGTAACGGAGGATTTGCGCCACACGATAAAGATTCCGAAGATAACTTTTTTTAAGCAACGGGTTGGGGGTACCTCTAAAAGCTTTGACACAAAAAAAGGGTGTTCCACAAAACCGACAAGGTTCGCACAGCGCATCCCATCTGCCGTAGGGGCAACGCAAAGCAACGGAAGCGTTTTGTACCGAGGGGTATCCACGAACCACAAGAAACCCACATCACTCAATGTCAAAGACAACCCTTGTTCTCACTCTACCTAAGTCAACAGCGCCGAAAAAGTAAAATCAAAATCAACATACGGCTGAGATCTATGCTATCCAGCAAGCCGCACCAAACAGTTAATCAAAAAATCGAAAAAAAAACGGTGCATGCCAGAAGACATCACATTCAACGGCTGGGCGCAGTGCGGGGTCTGGGCACCGTCAGACCATGAATCGTCCGTCTATCCTGCAACTACAGAAGCAGTAACCGCCAGAATCCCTACAGGGAAAAAATCGCAAAAAAAGGACAAGGCCGAATTTACACTCACGGTCCTAGATGCGGGATCGAGGTTATGGATACCCATGGCCGCATACCATACTGTTTGTGCAGGTTGATATTTTTCCTGGAAACCCCTGATGATGATACGCGTTGATATCGCAAGTCTTATTGTGGCACTGGTTTGCCTCCAAACGACTGGAAAAAACCAACAAAAAAAAGGAAACACACCTATACTCAGAGTAGGCAGTCGGGTTACAGGTAACATGACCCGACGACAGTCAACTGTGATCTTCTCTCCCCGCGAACATTTCGTATTTGCGCGCATGTATATTCATAGTTCACTGTGGAGGAAATGTGTTTGCCAATCCCAGACCAAGCGGTCCACTCCCAATGCAATCACCATTCGGGATGCATTCAAGGAAAAAAGAGCATTGGGATACACCAGAAGGAAGATCGCGACGGACGTACTTGTCCGGCAACAGACCACACAGCACCATAACGCAATACGCATTCATTGCATTACAACCCAAATCCAATGGTATCCGCTCCACTATGATATTGCCCTTTGGTGGTCTGTTTGCCACTTCGTGGAATACCAAAAGGAAGAAATGGAAACGTGACAACCCACCCCACCGTCTCAGTACGGGCGTTTGGGATGGACCGACCACACTGTGGCCGTAGCTTTTTTTTTTTTTTAAGAATTTTAGGTACAAAAAGGACCGGGAAAAAAAACGCGAATCGACTATAACGCTATGGTGGACGAAACAAGCGGGTTTGCCGATCCATTCTTGACGCCAATCGTTCGGGCCGCATTCCGACGGAGTTACGACCCGGACGTGGGTCATGTGTGTACACTGGGCTCGGGGGTAAAGAAAAAACAAGCCGAAAGGAACAACCTCCAAGGTCGTGACAGACGTACATACTTGTCCTGCCAACAGACCAGACCACACCAAAGCGCAACACGCACTGCAACACAACCCAAATCCAATAGAAATTTCCAATCTATTACCGCAGAAAACAATAGGGAAAGCCGAACCCGTTTCATCAATCACTAACTTATTGCTCACATCACCGTCCATTTCCCGCCCGCCTTCCTCGCTGCAGTCCCGAACCACCTCATCCATCGCACAGTTCTACAATCTAAATCATCTCTACCCACCCACCCAAATCAAGCGAAACTTCCAAGAAAATCACGGAAAGAATTAACAAAGAAACTCGTTAGTACCCCCTCACCCCATTCCCCGTCCCGTTCCTTTAGCGCTATGAACTCGCCGCACTCCCACCCGCACCCGCACTCCCACTCCCACTTCTACTCCCACTCGCACTC